CGCCAACGCCGCCAAGCCGGACGGCCCATGTGAAGATTTTAGATGTCATGAATGACTCAACTTCAACTGCGGAAGCCACCTCGAACAAGATTGCAAAAATAAAACTATTCTCCTCACCTTTCTCCTTCTTCTCCAAACAGCTCCAGCAGCCCCAGAAGCAAAAAGTATCAAGCAAAAATAAGAAGAAAAAGTCAAAGACAAACAAAAAAACGGTGCAAAAAAAAAAAAAAAAAAGGGGCCGGAGCATGTAGGGTGGTTAAATAGTTAAAAAGCCCAGAGCAGAAGCTACCACTTTAACATATATCCAACAACAGCGATAAGAAACAACTGGAAGAAAGCACTCATCGCCTCAATTTCGCCACAACCCTCCAGACGCCGTACCTCTTCCCAACGACGCATTCAACACACTGAAAATAGGACTTGTGTAACAGTTGTGTCCATCATGTTCAAACGTAGAAGAACATCACTCAGCCGGCAGATGAATTGTTCTCGCCGTTTTTCGTTTAATTGACGCAGTTCGTCCCACAGTTGTAAATCAGCCACCAAGAGTCGTTTCATTAGACGGGCCGTTGTCTCCAAAGACATGCTGTTCTTATTCGTCAGTGAAGTCTTTCCCCATTCAAAAAGTGCGTCAACGATTCGCATGATGTCCTTTAAAGAAAGAGTATGGCACAGTTCTCTTTCATTGTTTGGTTCGGTAACCGATTCGGCCCGCTGCACGCGCTCAGCCATTGCTGCATTAACGGCACTGAAAACCATATCTCTGACGTAAGTCACAATCATTAGCTCTGACTTTGCCACGGAGTCGCTTACACCACTTCCCTGTTGACCACGATACCTGCGGGGAATATAACCGTGATTCGGGTTGTAGTGGCGGTCGTTCGGTACATTCCGAAACATTTGGTACCGCTCTGTCACAAGAGGCCACAGCACACTAAGAGTGAAAAGAAGACTTGGTAAGTCGTCCGGCTGAAGTGTCGCGCCGCTGTTGCTAGACGGGGTGCGTGCCCTTGCCACACAAACTGCCTCCACAACAAAAAGTGCTGCTGTAATGAAACAACTTTGCACCTCCATTCCCCGCCGCGGTGCATCGCGCGCCGCACGTACCAACACGTCAAATAGAATAAGAAGGGAATGTGGCGAAAGTTCTTCTGCAAGTTGCCCGACACTCTGACTATTAACCTCTTCAAGGTGCTTCATCCGAAGCGCCGCTTGCATTTGTCGCTGCTGCAAACGTGCCCTCGCTCGAACGGAGTTTAAAAGAGCAGATTCAGTATCCTGTTTACCATGCTCACGATGCAACTTGGCCCGTTGGCTCCGCGTAGCAAAGGCAAAAAGAGAATTTTGCCTAGACTTCTCCAAAAGTGCCCTCTGTGTGCCCGTCGACAACTGAGGAAACATGCATTTTACAAGCTGCATGAGCAATTTTTGCGAAACATGCTCTTCTGTTTGAATAAGTTTCATCGACTCCAGACCAAATAACAGTCGTGCTGCTTTTACTGGAGGAAGTAACAATGACATCTCATTCATCTGTGTGACCAGGGCACCCTTGGCATTCTCACCACACTTCATCATTGCATCTTCCAGGCGGCGTAGTGTCTGGTGCATGGTGGCCTCTCCTTTCCCCTCATTGGCGTATAATACCAAAAGCGACGAAGCTGATGCCTGCAAGACCAAAAGAAGATCAAATAGCTCTTGCGCTTCTCCATAGCAAGTGATAATGGCGTTTACGTCCAGTAATGGCAAGACATGGGAGCACATCGCCAGCGTTTCCAGCACCAATGAGGTTACTTCGCAAGACGAGGGTGGAAGCCACCGCAAAGGCGGAATCCTCTTCATTGAATCACCTGTAGAATTCGTTTCAGATATGCTTAATTCAACGGTTGCTTTGGAAGCACTTGAAGGAGGGGGTTCCTCTTTTGCCGTTTCTGACGTTGTCATCATTTCCATCATCATCAGCACCGCCGGGTCTTTGCTATCTCCATTCGAGTTGACGGGTACCAGCACGGAGGCAGGAACAGTTAAGCCCTTTTCACCCTTTAATTCTAATCGAGCCAATTTCCTGCGACGCATCCTCCGTGAGGGAAGAGAAGCCACAAACCTTGGCGCACGCGTATTCAATGCATGTCCCTTGAGGGAGTCCTTCAGTGCCCCAAAGCCAAGACGAGTAAGAGAGAGAAGCATCACAATTACCGATGAGGCAGTGCCGACACCATTACCGCCTTTCTGCTTTGGGAAATCCCGTACCGCTGTCACCCATATTTCTTCACGCAACAAAAGGCGCCACAACCTTGCCGAGATGTATGGGCGTGAGAGAAGAGAACCCTGAAGTAGCGTAACATCCGCCTTAGCTTCTGTCACAGCGTCTCGGGCGGCGTTTAACGCAACCGTGTCCTCCCGTCTTTTCCGCACAGTATGTAACGCTTGCTCGGTATTCTGCAGTCTGGATTCCAACCGACTCATATGATGGCGATAAAGTTTTCGCCGTTCCTGCTCCATAAAATGCAGCGAAGAAAGCAAACGCAGGGCATACTCTGGTTGGCGCATGAAATGTTCCTGAGACTTTAGTGCAGTGGATGCCGTTAAGATGGTTCCCTGTTGCAGATCTGTTTTAAAATTCTCCGGAGAAGCTGGTCCCACACCGCTATGAGATTGTGACGGCGGTGGGACAAGTTTCATACTCATTTCCCTGGGCGGCTGTGTTTCGTGATCTTTAACCCTTTTTTGCGGTGCCGTTTTTTTGCAACTTGTAAGGGAGAGAAAACTGCGTTCCAGTAGAGAGACAGCCACCGGCACGTGACGAAAGAGCAACTTGTCCTTCACGGCAGCTCTCCTTTGAGCCTCTCCATTTTGTCTTATGTCCACGCCGGGGTGAAACAAAGAGGGGGGACGCTGAATAGCCTCCTCCTTCAGAATACGGCGAAGCTGCAACTCCACACGTTGGAGAGCAGCAATGCGCTGCGACAGCAGCATTATCCGTTCCCCGGCGATACCTCTTATTAAGCCACCCTTTTGCTACACAAGCACACACAACTCCCTCTATTTCTCACTTCCTGTCGGGAAACACTGGTGCCTTCAGTGGCAAAAAAAAAAAAAAAAAAAAAAAAAAAAAAAAAAGGAACAACAACAAAAAGTGTGCACAACAAATGAAGGCAATACACTCCCGCGGAGGTGCACGCAACAAGAGAAAAACGGCCACATGAGTCTTCTGGATTTGCGGGCGCCAAGGAATGAGGCCCAGTACGGAAGGAGCAAAAAGTGATGCCTCCTTCCTCGGCGCCCCTTAGAGAAAAATAACACACATGCACACACACACACACACACACATGGACCGGCATATGTCACCAACGAGGGTAACGTTAAGAGTCAGCGGGATTGAGGCAAAAGAACTGCGTTTGTCTAGTTACCCCATTGTCATTAGGCAGCAAATTTTCCACCGCGTAAATAGCAAAAAAAAAAAAAAAAAAAGAGAAGAAAAAAACACCAAAAAAAAAAACACTTTGAAAGGAACAACATGCAAAAAAAAAAAAAAAAAAAGAAAAACTAAAGGAAAATCACCATGAGGGACCGGAAAAAGGTTCAAAAAAGAAAAGCATAGGGATATGGTGCGCACCAAATAAAAAAAAAAAAAAAAACATTTTCTTTTTTTGTTATTTTCCCCCTTCTTCTTATTTCCACTCTCCCCTTAGTTTCTTTGATCCTTTACTCCCTTCCAAGCATTTATCATTTCTTTGCTGTCAAACTGAGAGAGATGGAAAAACCCCAAAGAAGTTTTTTCCCTTTAAGTTAAAAACGAAAAAGAGGAAAAAAAAAAAAAAAAAAAAAAAAAAAACAACAAGAACAACAACAAAGTTCACATCTCAGTAAACAGGATGCGTTTTTCTTTTCTTTTTTCCTTCTTCCGGAACCTTATTTCCCATCTATGGAAGATATTGCACAGTTTCCCTCTCGTACACAAAACTATTTCACATAAAAACAAACAAACAAAAAAAAAAAAAACATGACAAATCCTCACCCCTGTCACCCCATTCATATTTATACAACTATCTATAAATACATACACATGTACTCATACATGTATTTGAATATAGGGGATGGATAAGGTCTCGTACATATTCCTAGAAGGAGAAAGTATAAAAACGGGAGAATACAGTTTGATTCAACACGTCTGATATTCCAATTCAGCTAAGATTTATACAACGCCTGCACACCAATAAACAAACGTGTTCATAATTCAATCCACAACAACCGGGTTCTTTGGGAACCCACAAAGTGGTGGCCTTTTTGAAGGGCCCCCAGCAACCACCGGACTCCTCTCCGCGTGAAGGGCAACAGCGGAGTGAATGGGATGACAGGAACAACAAAATCAGGAAAAAAAAAAAAAAAAAAAAGAGAAAAAGAAAACAACCACCACACAAACAAACAAACAAACAAAAAAAAATAGAGAAGAAAAAAAGTTGCGGCCCCGCCACCTTCCAAAGCGGTGTCGTAAGAAACAAACCAATAAATAGGTATAGAAAAAGGGTAGTGAAACAAGCCGTCTCCCTCTCTTTCTCTTTCTGTTTCTTTCTTTCTATTTCTCCGTCCCCTTTATTTAGCCTCATCTGGTTGCACATCCGTTCAACACACCCCCAATAATTGTTCGTGTGTATATAAATGCATATGAATGTAAATGTGTACTTACATCCTTTCCCACTGTATTGCTGAATGTATGTAATAATCTTCTGTGCGCCTTATTTACTTTTATTATCATCCCGTTATTATTATTATTTTCTGTTTTTGTTGTTGTTGTTCTCTCATCCTCTTCTTTTCCTCCACTCATCAGCATCTCTCACAAGCAGCTCTTCCACATGATATTTATATAAATAAGAACAAATTCCTTACTAATTTCTCACCCAGATATGTGCCCCATTCCATCAAAAATAACATTTCATCATGGCATTATCAATGATTTTCTCTTTTTCCCCCACCTTTTTTTTTCCCCCTTTTCTTTCTGCATACTACATTCTTCCACTCATACCTGGCGCCACATTGGGGAGACCAAGAAATGGTGGTGGTGTCGGCCATCCCCAGCCGAGGGGTGGGACGGGCGGCATGCCGTACAACGCACCCATATTAACGGCTGGCATCATCACCGGCGGCGCTGGTGGAACAGGTGGCGGCAACCCAAACATAGGTACAACGGGCGGATTAGCAGCCGGATTCATTGCCCCCTCAAGATAGGAGCGCTGCACATTAGGCGTATGATGGGCTGACGTCGGTGTTCGTGGACAAGCCCGCGCTTCTTCGTTCTCCTGAGACTTTGCCATGCTAGCATAAATATCGTTAAACACTCCTTTTGTAATATCCCTCGTAACCTCAAGGGAGGCCGGACATTCCATAGAGAAAAGTACTTCAACCGCAGACCCGCGCAAAAGCGTCGCAAGCTGCTGAATAAAAAGATAAAGCTCGGTCGGGTTCGCACTGGGGCATAGTCCTGAGCAAAAAACGGTGATACGTTTAAAATCCACCTGATACTCTACACCAGATACATTCAAAGAGTACCCTCTTTCACGAATCAGTCGTTGACAGACGTTATATGCCTCCGTTTCGCGACGACGAGCATAATATACTCGCTTTTTCCCCTTGTTCATTCCACGACGAATAACACGTGGAAGTCGTAGTAGTTTCTCCTTGTTGTTTCCAGGTTCCACGGTCTCCAGAGGTTTTGACGCGTCCTCCGGATAAAGAACCTCGCGAGGGAGTTGGGCCAAATGGCTTGGAATTAATGACTCGTTGCTCATATGAGCTGTGAGATCCCCCACAACACGACCCATGTTTTCGCCCCCATGACTTTCGACAGAGACAAGATCCCCGATGGCAAACGTCCCCCATTCACTCTTTGGCACATAAAATACGCCATATAATTGCTTAAATTTTACAAGAATATGTGTCATAATGGAGCACTTTGCATCGGTTTCACATGCTTCCTTTTCCGCTTTTACAGCCATCTCGTCTCCCACAGATTCTCGACCTTGTTGGGAAGCTTCCCTTTGACTGAGTAAGCTAAAAGACTGCTGGTGACCCAGTGGTGCGGTCTCAAATAAGGATTCGGTGCAGGACTTATTTTTGCCAATTGGCGTGGTATACCCTTGGGTTTCATTCTTATCCGAGTCCTTTTCGTCCCCGTTTTCAGGTGCTTCCACTTCACTCCTGTCCCATGCTGCGAGAGAACGCGTATGTCTCCTAGGAGGCTGTTCTCTCGCGTCATTTTGGCCATGAAAACATTCTGAAGAGAGACAACCAAGACGCAGGTATTCTTTTGTGGGATCTGCAGCAAGCCCAAGCTCCGGACCCAGTTCCTTCCATGCGATGGAGTCCCATGAGAATTGCTCGCGGCTGCTCATTCGAGAATGTGTTGGCGAGCGTGCGCTGCCATTCTGTAGCGAAAAGCTGCTCTGAGAGCGAGAATGATGTCGTCGGTAACGAGGGTGAACTGTCAGCGTAGTAACAAAGACAGTGTCTTCCGACTCATGTGTACCGTCCTTCGCAAAAGAAGTCCGTGCCGGTACCACCGACGGCGGATGCTTGGAATCCCTCACGCCACAGTGCAAAACATGCGCTGGAACGCGCGGTGATGACTTGTCAGCAATGTTCATTGGTACCGCTGCAATGTTTGCGTTTATGTTCTTTGTATTGCTCTCATCTTCTACAGCCGTCGTCATTGAAACTGCCTGTTCGCCGCCGGTGGTAGTCATGGAGCTCTCCCTTTCCATATATATATATCACCCAGCTTTTTTAATGGCCGTGTATGCAAAGCAACAGTCACTCACTCCCTGACTCACGCTCCTCCCCAAATTCTTTTTTTCTTTTTCTTTTTGCCCTCTCGCCTCCCCCTTTCTTTCTTCACTTCTTGTCCTTCGGTCAATTTACAACACCCTCACACCACCA